ACCGTTTCAAGGTTGCTAATCGACGAAGAGTAAAATGTGTATGAACTAGTTATTCTCCGAACATACAGCTGGTCAGCCTGTGACCCTCGGTATCCAGTCACTTCTCGCCTAATATAAACACTATCTTGGTTTGCGATATGGTCCATCATTATGCTGGACGCACATCTGCCTGTCTATACAGTGGTTAGTTTATCAAGACTTGTTCGAAGTGTAACCTGCGGTCCGAAAAGGGATCCACAAGTGTGTGTGTGTGTGGTGTGCACACCAACATAGCTCTTACCGGACTATACTTTTATAGGTCTGCGAAAGCTTTTACTCGTCGAACTTATAGGATAACGATTCTTGCGAACACTCGGCGTTTCTTGAGGCTGTTGCGGACTGTGATATTCGATTTATAGGGCCGGTGTTTAGTGATCAGGTTATTCACTGTTTCTGTAAGGATTCCAGCTCCCACTCTTCCCTGTACTCTCCTAATTTAGCTCGGGTTCGTGTACCTTAGAACGAAGTCTTATATCAACCGAATCCGTTAACACCGCATTTGGCTTCTTCTGAGTTTCGAGTTATTTATCCCTCCTATTCTGAGTGATGAAATTTAAGCCCAACATGTCTTTTCTTTACTTCTGTTACAGGCAGATTGATAAGCCTTTTCCATTTTGCAATTGATTGTTTTCCTTAACTTACTTCAACCCCCTACTCTTTGAGGTGTTGGTCACGTGGATTCCTTATCTCCTTCTTCCCACCGCAGCTACTGGTTGAGATCCTAATCTGGCGAGCGATACACACTCCGGATGACCGTTTGTTTACAGTATACAACCAGAAAGGACAAGAGGCATCCAGTCTTACTTGCGCACAGCTGCTCAGGCGAGCTGAACGACTAGGCTGCCTTCTTCAGGACAAGGCCAAAGCAACTGTGGGCACCATTGTCGCTCTGCTATATCCACCAGGTTCGTGGTGCACCACCTTCCAATCGTTAGCAAGATTTTGTTGTTTGTTCTTCGAGGTGTATAGTTAATATCTACTCGTTCAACAGAATGAAGTCCGTGTGAGTGAAAGCTGTAAAAACCTCTGATGTTAGATTTGTATATCTCACTCTCTGATTTGTTTTCAGCCTCTAGCTCTGAACAGAATGCACATCTCAACCCTATCATCCCCATTTTTTGTTTGGGCATAGTTCGTTAGGTTCTCGTGATGTAACTTACTTCGAGAGTTATCAGAGGTTGGTCGTAGTGTTTGTTTCGATTTACTGCATTTTGTTTTTTGTGCTTTCAGTTGAATGTGAGGCGAGGCGAGTTATGTGCTGTGATTGATTGCAGTAGCCTAATGAGGACCTATTCTATGTGTCCGGAATTACTTGGAGTTTGTAGCTGTATTATTGTATTGTATTATCGGATTCGTTAAACGTGTTTGTAGAATGACAGCCCATCTAGTCGTGCTGTTTTCCAGTCATCCGTCGTAGGTACATCACTTGCGTGTGACAGAAATACTGAATACACTCGCGTTCAGGTAACCAGTTATTTTTATCGAACAACTGTTTGCAATGGCTGCACTCTGTGACGTCCAACTGCACTTCGGATGTTTCCCACTAGGCCGCCCTGTTACACATTCCACCAGCTGATATGCGTTGCATTTGCTCCAGATTTATCCCGGCTGTCATGGCGACCTATTTTTGTTCAGCTGCTGTTGCTTCAACTAGGTTGGCCTCATCACAAATTGTTTTTTTTCAATGTGGTTCACGTAGCAAATGCTATTGTTGACAAGTCTGTCGATGGCTGCCACGACGCATTGTTTCCAAAACAACGATGGGCAGAACAGTTGCGTGGTAGGTGACTAACCTGAATGGGAAGACCAGCTAGAATGACTAGGTGTGTCTGAGTGTGCGTTTTTTCAGATTCGAACTCCTCACTACCATACTTACCGCCGCAGTTATGCAAAGAGACACGCCGCTGCAGCGGTTTCGTCTCACTATGGAGTCAACTTATCAACAGAATAATTAACTGAGGACCATTTGAGTGATGGGGCGCTTAGAACTACCATTCCAAGAGTGAATCGTCGGAGGAACTGTGTGCTTACCAACGTTGTACTTACTTACTTCACTCATATCCGCCGCTGCCTTTTTGTACAGGGATGGACTAACGGAACGGAGTATTCCCAGCCTTGTGTCTATGCTAAACGTCCCTATAGGGTCGTACAAACATTTAACGATCATGGGCTGTAAACCTACGTATATTGTTTCGAGTAACTTGTCTCGGGAAAGTTTTCCACTCTACCGTGTATTAGTATACTTCCTAGACAACAGTTGTTCGCATCTTATGGGTTGCAGTCCTCCAGGTTGGGGAGTAATAGTGACACCGAGTCGTCCAGGCCAAACACCACCCACGCTCATTGAAAACCTACTGGCTCTGTTTAACGTGTCCCTAGTGAGGGTCAGTAACCACCGCATGATGTTTGATCCATTATGACTATCCCAGCACGTCACATCAACTACATTTACAGGGCACAACTCTGTCCTCATTCGTAGAATTAACTTCGTCCGGGTAACTTCCATTCTTGCATACCGTCCTGCGTTTCAGGTACCGAGATGCTCTGTGCCTTTTATGCCTGCCAGTTAATTGGCGCTGTGCCCGTTCCCATACGTCCGCCTCGCCTGGATCAGTCGGGGTTCAACAACTCCTCATCCACTCCCAGTACTCCGGGTTCAGTTGCACACCTGTCCGGACCAGTAGGTTCAGGGTCTTCTACTGGACTCAGTTTGTTGGGTCTCGGATCCAGCGCCGGAAATCAGTCATCTTCAGGCAGTACGGAAAGTTGGGCGAACATCAATTTTCGTCCAGCTGCCCCCAGTTTCGAGGCTTCATTGGAATTAGTTTGGAACATTGTCAAACATTCAAACGCTTCAGTCGTTTTCACTCAACAACCAATAGTCAAGTTGCTCAAGTCTAAAGTACGTGGTTGTCTGGCTTTTTCTCCTGTTCAGCTGTTTACGAACCATGACCACAGTTGTCACCACTGTTTTGATTATGTATACCTGTCCCCCAATGTTTACCCAGGAGGCAACCAGTCGTATCCCGTTCAATCACTGGCCACCTGTGCTCGATTCAGAGGAAAGTTTTCGCAAAAAGATTTCACCTCTCCATCAAACTCCGTGTGTGGAACAGTCTGTGGCCTATTTGGACTTTGCAGCATCCACTACAGGTGAGTCGACTGTTTACGCCACACCATTGCTGGCTCGAGATTTATTCATAGTGGATATCTGGAAGCACTGAGTGTTGGTGTACCCTTGAAAAGATGGGCCAGCTAGCCTGCATTTTGGAATTGAACAGACCTCGCAGCACACCGAACAATGTGTACCGTGTGCTTCCATCTTTCGCTACTCTATACGTAACCTCTCTGCCGTTTAAGGCCTTATCCTGGTTAGGTACCACTGGGATACGACGTGAATCAAAGGCCATAGATAATCGAGCATCCAATTATTATTATCAGAACCTCCCTACAAGGGGTAATGAAATGAATGGATGGGCATTGACCATCCTAACTTGGTTTTTGCCACACAGTGACTTAGTAGCAGTAACCGAGTGTTCTCCTTTAGGTCCAGAAAAGGCAACGTTCGAAACTAATAATGTGTAATTAGACCGCTCAAACTCTATTGACCCAATCAGGTAAGTTCGCTATCCAATTAATCTGCGTAGTTTACCTGGTCTCATGTGATTGCTCGTAAAATGTCATCCTGGGTAAAGCGAATGAACTAACTGCGCTATACACAGTATCCGTGCGGTGTCTTGATACCACAGGTTTTTTTATACAACAAGACGAGAACTCATGCAGTAACTCAGAATGCAGTTATCGATTGAGACGTAGGAAGGAAGTGTCTTGTATACTCCAATGCTCATTGTTCGATAGTCCAGCTACTCTATCATGACAGGTTTGCAGTAGGCCATACGAAATCAACGGTCGAGTATATGTTCAATTTCTCACAGGGACGTACCATCCACTTCCAAGTGTATAGCCATAGTGAACGGCCTATGTGCGCTTTTAGCGAGTAATCTGCTTGTCTCGCAAAATCAAAGGAATACTGAGAATACCAGGTGAATTTTATTTTTCCTTGAGGGTCGTATGATATAGCAGCACCGTATGATGACGCCCAATCCAGTCGTGACGGATTGCGCAGCGCAGTCACTTGCAATTTCTTAGTCCATCTGTGTTAGGGAAACAAAGAGGTCATCCTCGACAGGGATACACCAGCAACGACTACTGATTAGTAATTAGATAACCGTTCAGCTGTAACACCCTTCCGGTGCCCAGCTGCCATGTCAGCTGAAGAAAGCACGAGGGCCGCGATACTACCAGGTTGCCCAAGCCTAAACGGGAAAAGTCCAGATGCAGATGTCCTGTTTCAAACCACTGAGCAGTAACCGCAAATGAATCCGGAGTGAGTTGAATGTCCGGTTTTCCGGTTATCCCAGTTAGTTTCCTACCGTCACACAAGGTATCCTGGACGATTCAACCAGCTATATTTTTCCCACTATGGTCGTTATTCGGTAAGATTTATTGCTCAACTGTATTTAGACGTTAAGACAAAAAATAGTAAATCCTGTGTCAGACAGTCTGATTTGGTGAGTCCCGAAAACCCACGTCTGACCCACTGGTTTAAGAGACTGAGTGAAGTTTCTACGTCGAGATATTCTTTTAAAGGCCCAACTCAGCAACCAGTGTATATTTTTTGGTGAGTTGTGTGCTCCAAATTCTTGTGCACACCTTTTTCACCGTTTGAACCACATCGTTTCAGGTCACTGTTGCTAGGCTGTTCGGTGGTTTCCCATAAACCTCATTTTGAGGAAGAAAGCTGAACGTCTGCAAAGTCTACTCAAATCAACCATGGCATATATTTTTGCTGCTGCTGTTTCTCGTCAACCGGTGCCCACTATCTGCACAATGCTCCCAGCTGCAAAATGTTCACTAGTGGAGTAAATCTTTCTACGCCAAAATATTGCATTGTTTGCGTATGTGCTCAAACCAAAAACCGTTCTAATCTATGTTCATATTTTTGCAGCTCACCAAATTTCATTGTTCACTAAAACAACTATGCCTCTGCCTGAAAAGCCCTGTGGGATAATTTTCCAACATCGCTGAGACCCCGGGATGCTTAAATAGAGCTTAAAAGTTTGGACTGGTACTCTCAACTTAATTGCCCGATTGCTTAATCCATCAAGGACACGTCATAACTTTCGAAAATTCAATTTCATTGTGCGAATACTGAGCGCCCTCGTCAACCCAGTAACAGGAATAGACGTTGATTGATTTGTTCTCCTATAACCTCCAAGCTTATTGACATTCTTTCGGAAATTGGTTTGCTCGGATACGTTTAGCGGTTGTGGATCCTGGCAGTTGGGCTGCAAACGCCTCGTCACCAATCTAAGGGAGGTCAGTTCATGCACTCGACAACAGTCACCTGATCAACAACTAACTCATTCCTATCTTTTACTCGCTGTCTTGGTGAGTGGATGTCAGTCACATCAGGTTTAACTTATGCTGTGATGAACAGTCGTAATCTCAGGAGGCAAGCGTGAACTCAAGGTAGTTGGTTATGTTGGATACCGATCCGCGAAGTTAAGGGTCCCACTGAAAAGTCTAGCAATTTCTAGGACTATAAGAAACATACATCGGTACGTGACCGACCAATCTTCATACATTCCTTTTATAACATAATGTAAGGTCCACTTTTCGATCCCAATGATATTTGTACATTTTTTGGAAACCTGACCTTACAGAGTCAATCTTTGGCCTAGCTTTTTCACCCTGACAGCTGCACAATTTCTGTGAGCATTTGTGTTCGAAGATTTGTATAGTTATTTTTATCGATGATATCTTCTTAACTTCATCTCCAAGTATGTGCTTGGTAACTCTCCGGTCTTCTGGACGGTGGTTGACATTTTCTGCAGTTATCGGAATTTCACAAATGGCGCTCAACTCATGAGGAGAATCACAGGATAGAATCTTGTTGTAGTGCCTTATCGGCAACTCTTCTGGTAGCGAAATCGAGGATTCACTCCTCCATGGTGACCATCTTTCCTTAGGGACCGCCTTGGACCGGTTCTGTCATACTCCACTGACGACACTGTCCTTTTTTAAATTGAGGAATAGACTGAAACTTTAACTTGTGAGCAAGCACCATGTGACCACCCTTTTATAGTGTTGATTGTCTCTAGAGCGGCCGCCTCTGACCGTTCCCGTCAGGGGTTACTGGTGCTTATCTGTCATAAAAGCGTGGAAGGCCTCATTACAATTTGAAGAAAAAGCGGAGGGATGGAAACTGTCTACCTGGATAAAGCGGTTAAGATCAAAGTGCCTTTGCATTCTAAAACCAGTGAACTAAACGTTCCAGAGCGTGATATTAGAATAGCACGCTATCAGCGCGGTTCGCCAACTACATGGTCTGTCTGGGAAGCGATGGTGCAGTCGCTGTTCGGCTCGGTTGCACGTCAGATCCTGTAGGCTTTCTAACCATATGGAGATAATCCCATGAAGCCGTCCCATTACGTGCATGCTGCAGCTAGTTAACCCTTGCCATCTAGTGATACCTTGGTTATCAGATATCTGAAAACGTTTGAGGTTTTCGCATCGGAGGCCAAGTCCTCCAGCCGTAGGATCGGACTGCTCTCGCAGCGGTTTTGTAGACTCGACCCTTTATCCTCATGCACTCCTGACACCAAAGGTAACGCCAGTTGAAGGCTAGCTCTCGTGACTCGATGATGCGTGCACTGACTTCACTTGTCACAGTGCAGGGACTGCTTATGCAGCTGATAAGATAAAGGAATCTGCCAACAAACGCAAGTTCTCCATTCTGTGGTTTCGAAAGGGTATATGGTTCTTGAGAAATCCTGGAACGAGGCTGCACCTAAGGGTGTGGAGTGCTCACCGAAATGATATGCCGCTTCCAACACTGTTTGAAGCCGTTTTTTGCAGACTCGTGATCGTCACATAGCAGAAAATGTTCACGTAATTTGCTAATCTCTCTCTCTCTGGAAGTGATTTTAGCAGCCAGCTTCGCGGTCCCTTGAGTTGGTGACAAAATTAATCAATAAGTGAGGGGGAGATCTCTGGAGAATCACACTAGTTGTGGAGGAACTTTCTGACCGCCCCTCGTAATCCCATAGCCTGCAAGGGGTAGAATAATAGATGGCGTGAAGTTTGTCTACGAACTCCAAGGGCTTTGGTCTTTGCTTAAGGAAGTGTAGAAGAGATAACCTGTCCACGGAGTTGAATGATCATTTGAATTCGAGGAAAAGCGCTACAGTTGTTCGGCAGTATGGTTGACGTTGTCGAAGCATTTGACTTGATATGAAGATGTGGTCACACGTCACGAGTGCCTTCTTACAACCGCAATTGGCCTTACATCTGTATGATTGGAGCCTTGGCTTCGGGTACCTTTTCTACATAAACGTATAATGACTGACTGTTGCCAGACTACTGGAACGTATTATTGCTCTAGACAAAGCTTGTGAGAATAGTCACCTTGACCCGTACCGTTGTAATTCTTTGGAGTGGAATTCGACGATTAACTTTCCGGTGGGGAAACTTTTAAATAATAGCCATTCGAAAACTAAGTTCCCTCATCCCGAAGTACAATTACTCTAACCAAACAAATCCACTGTCAGGTCTGAATCGGTTTCAGTGGGAGAACCAGAAGAGTGCAGCTGAAGAACAATGCTTTAAAGAGCCACTCCTCCTGATTTTTCAACTCTTGAGGAAATCTATTCAGATGCAGTGGAAACTATAGTTGTTCAGATTATTTGCGGATTTGTATAGCAAGCAGTTGTTACAATCCACACCAAACTCCTATGATTGCACTATCCCTGCCAGTCATCACAGCTCTTCAGGCACGAGCGTGTCATCAACCAACCCGTTGCTTAAATACTCCTGGGTTTTCATCGTCCTTATCCGAGCGATGAGCCTAAACAATGCTAAGCATTACCTCTACAGCTTATAACCGGACTACTGTTACATCGGTCTGTTTATTCTCTAAAGCAAAAACGAGGAGGAAAGTAAAAACTATTTCACTTTGCGAATGATTATGTTTAGCCATTTGCCTAACCCAAGAATGGGGACATCTCAGTGAAACAATGGGTAGTGTTCCCCAAGCAAAAAAACGACGATGTTTTACACAGCTCGAACTTTCCGTATCATCACTTCCGGGTTACGAAAGTACTATCTGCCATGACAATTCCGTGCGCAGATGCTATCTGGTACAGAACAAATTGACTGTGCATTCGGTTCCATGCAATTCTGGAAAGCAGTATTCCGGACAAATGCTCCATGGCCACAAAATTTGTTTCGTCAACACGAGCGTTCCGCTTCAGGAGAACTGTTCGTGAATAGGTATTCTGTATCATATCAAGGATTTTGCCCCTGGAAAATAGTCCGTTTTGAGAAAAAACATCAGGAACTACGAGCGTAAACCAAATACATTGTAATGGAATGATGTCATGGTAGAGAATAGAAATGGGACCCCTCCAAATAACGACTTACTCGGTCCCAACCGTCGAGATGGATTTCCGTGGTAGACAAACGATATGAATGTCACCTAAGGGCAAATCGTTTCAGCGAACTTGTCTGAATTTCGATCCAGACGTACAGGTATGCGCATGTTTATCGATTTTTCTTGTATTCGCCTTACGGTATTGATTCACAGGCTGTGTCGGTCGCTTCAGTCAGTTTTCCGCTAACAGATATGCTAGCTTGGTAGATAGATATGGTAGGTTGGTAGATATAGTAGATTGCTTTAGCCGCCCGCATGCAGTAAAAATCAGACGCAGATCAATGGCCCCTCACAAGACGGGCCAAGACACTTGTACTGCTTGCAATCTTCTGACGGGTAGCTCGATCTATCCTGTCCAGCCTAGCGTGAACACGTGTACCCTACTTCCTCTCTAGTGCAAACTGAATGGACTATTTGCACCATATCTTCTTCGGGGAAGCCAATTTCCCGGTACGAATTGTTTCTCTCCTTAAGAGATGCAGCCCTCCTTCCCGGAAAAAACTTACAGAACAGACTTATGGTACTCAGAAGTCCATATCCTTTTCCCTCCCAACAATGCAAACATTATAATGACAATACCAATTGTTATCAACTTATGTTTACTACCCGATTGTCTTAAACAATTGGATCTCTGACTTCATTACTGCGGCACCAGCCCTGTATCACTGGATCTTCTCTGGTATAACCAAAGAACCAAACGTCTTCCTAGTAGGGCAAAGAAAACCCGTGCTCCATTTGAACAGTAGCTCTGACCTCACTATAACCTTTTCACCTTCGAACTCAACTGACAACACGATGCCAGTGGTTTTAATCGATGGACTGTTGTTCTTCTACTGTCATGTACATGATAAAATCAACTGGAGAAGATGAAAGAGGCTTCGTTCGTGGCATCTGTGGAACGTGTGGTGGAACCTTTGGATGGAAATACAAAGGTCCTATTCGAATCGGTGACACTACGGATGGCCCTTGAATCGCCTCATCGAAATACTCTTCTCAGGACCGTCTGCTCCTTGAGCCCCTGACAAGTTCACGCAATCCCTATAACCGACTTCCTCCGCGTGAATTCTGCCACTTTATCAGGACGCTGCCTATTTTCAACGAGTATACGCGGGAACTACTGCCACTTCATATCTCGTCTTTGTGATGACGCAATAAAAGAACTCTGATTGCGTTTGGAATAAGCGAGTCTGATGTGTCAACCCGTGTGTGGCTTTCAAGAAAACAGTGGATCTTCGGTCGCTTCAAGCATCCGACTATTGCATGCGTTTGTTTCGTCAAGTCCCTATCCATTAGTGGGTGCTTGCGTCATGATTAAATCCGTACCAAGTGAATTCAGTCATCCGTTTTTGTTCCGCTGTTCTTTACTTATATGTTTTTGTCTGGAGGCTGTAGCACCTTGTCCGATCCTCTCTTGGTTACTCTTGTCCCCCGACAACAGATACATCATCGCGTGTGTTAATAATGATAATATTTATTACTATAGTAATCGCTCATCTGTAGCACCCTCCCGATTCCTAGATGCCAATCCAACGAAAGGATTCACGAGAGCTAGGATACTATCAGCTTTCCAAAGGCTAGTCAGGAGTAGTCGAGATGCTAAGGTTGGGTTCGAACACCCTCCCGATAGATGCCAATCCAACGAAAGGATTCACGAGAGCTAGGATACTATCAGGTTTCCAAAGGAGCAGTCGAGATGCTAAGGTTGGTTGGGAACCACGGACCTTCCAGTCCGTAAGCTGGTGCCTTAACAACTGTGCTATCTCGAATATGTGTTCTCGTGGAATAACCCACGAGCGATGGTTTGAATGCTCCTACTGTACTGCAACATTGGTCACTGAGAATAATTACCTTTGACATTTTCGTCTGTGCCCCTTTTATAACTTAGGTACCGTAACGGGAATACGAGTCACACATCAAGTGGTCCAGGCCATGTGTCGCGCGCAAAAGGTCCAGTGTGAGTTCTATCCGACACGCGAAGTTGTCCTCAGCCTTGATCCCTATTCGGGCCTGGGATTCACATTGTGGGCGCTCACCTCGGTTCATTGCGGGCATCACTCAATCCTGGTGCCTCCCAGCGTGACAGAAGCCGTTCCGGATTTATGGCTTACCGTATGCAGTCAGCGGAAAGGTACTGTTTTTGAACGCGACCCATTCTGTCTATCTTATATCTTCTGGCCGATGATAGTGTTGAGTGTAGGAGTTTTGTAAATCTACGTCTGCAATCTGCTTGTGCAACATTATTAGTCGATATTAATGTGGTTTGCAATGCTCTGGTTGACCCGCTTCCTGTAGACGTGTGTACCAACCCTTGGTAAATTGTCGTTTCCTAAGGACGTCTTACCACAATGTTTCAATGGGCCTACTCTTCATTGCAACCTCGTGGTAAGGCGATGAACAGGCAGCTTCTCCTTGGTTGTAACGTGTGGTGATAAAAAATCCATGGTTCAGGAAGGATGAATGCATTGTATTGATTGCCTTCATTTTTCTGGTGAGAACCCTGGCGATTTGTAGTACGCAGATGACATCGTCCTCATCTCTGGAGACCAAAGCGAATCACAGGCCCCTTGAATAGACTGACCACCATCATACCATCTTTTTGCATGCGCCTTGCACTTTCAAAGTGCAAAATCATGCTTCAGAAACTGCAGTCTCCGGACATATCCCTTACAATTCAAAGAGAATCACTTACATACGTCGGTAGTTGTATTAGCTCTGACAGAAGTGTGTCTGATGAAGTCAGTGCAAGAATCTCAAAGGCTCGAATCACGTTTGCTAATTGGCGTCACTCGTGGCGTCAAAAGGCATCTCACTAGATCTTAAGGGTCGTGTGTACCAGGTTACAGTAATGACTGTGTTGTTGAATGGGTGCGAGGCGTGATCTCTGCAGACAGGTGATGTGAGGTGTCTCCTTTCGACCATCAATGCCTCATAAACGTGGGTGGTTTTGGTTGGCGTCAGCATGTCAGTATAGAGGTGATTAGAAGACGGGTATTTGGTTGTGCTGCAGGTCTTTAGTCCGGGAAACATGGCTCGGTCATGTGCCACGCATGCCGAAACACCGTCTACCGAGACAAGTGTTGTTCTACGCTTGCCGTTTGGATTAACTTTTCTGTTTTTCTCTAATTTTGTATTGATCCACGGAGCTCTTAACTCGTGAACTCTTAAATTGGTTTTTCCACATTTAAAGGGATGGCGGTGACAGCTTATCACTGCCCATATCTCTGATATTCGGGAGTACTGCTGACTTCCCGAAAAGCTCCAAACTGTCATTAGTGCGTCAACTAAGTGGTGCATGACTCACTATCTTTCCATTTTAAGCATCAACTCTTCAATCGCCGTGTGGACCATCACGAGCTAGCCTAAATGATGCCCCATCTCCCACTTTCAAGTCATATGGTCACCTGTGAGTGTATGAACATTAAGGCGCTCTTGCTCACATATACTGTCGTTCGGTCACTGCGTACATGGCAGTCCCTAACAATAACTCGGAAACGATGTTCGCCGAGAAATGAGCACCGGCTGTTCAACATTGAAATACATATGAAAGTGGTTAGCATAGTCCGGCGATGATCTAAGCCTTCATCTGACCTGAGATCCGGTCTTACCTGGGTACAAAACCGATACGGCATTAGGCAAAGTGTTACCATGAAACATGGATACCATGTCACTACGTCCTGGTTTCAAGTGTTCGAACCGCCGTTCATGTCGCCCTCTTTTGAAGGGGCATTCAGACGACCTTTGAATGCAACTATCGTTTGCCGTGTTCTTCAACCGACTGTACGCTTCAAAGACTGCCTCAAGGCTCAATTGACTCTTTGTTCAGTGTATCTAAGTGGTTGCTTGACGAACAATAATGGGAACCTGTCGATAACCGACTAGTGGTTTGAACTTATGAACTCAGTTACTCGATGGAAGCTTCGTTGCGTGGCTGGTCATCCGGTCGCATGGTCCACGTAACATCAGACCATCGCATCATTGGAAATAAGATGTGTCCATCCAATGGAAGCGAAATGAGGATGGCTAAAAAGACGTCCAGGAACATGTGCAGATCATGTCTTCTTCGAAGTCATATGATACCAAGCAGATTTCATGTTTCTACAAATGTTTTCTGAATGCAAATCATACTTCCTAGTGTTTTGGAATAACTCCACTCTGTGACCGATTAACTGGTAAACTAACTTTAAATGGAAATCTGTTATTCTAATGATGCGAGCATAAAAACCAACAAGATGTCGATCAAATACGCAGCTGTGAGCTGAAAATTGACCCCCAATTACGCTAATGTGAAAACCGACGAATATGCCAACTTTCGTTTGTCAGGGAAGTTCTTTTTACTGTTTTGTCCTAGATAGCTGTATAGTGACCACTCTGAGGTCAACCAGGCAAACAGCTTACGGGGAGGTAAAACGGTGGATGACAAGTGACGATATACTAATTTTAAGACCATGGTGGCCGCTTCCGTTAATGGGATTAAACAATCGAAATGTGTGGTCGAAGGAGCTTCTAGGTCCCCAGCAGAATTCCATACTTATTATCCAGTGTGCCATGATTTATTTTTGAATGGGATCAAACAGAGGGAGAATAGCATAAAATATACATGAGCATTTGACGTAGGGTTCATTCAGCTTCCACATTAAACCAAGAATATCGTCAACCCCCCCCTCAAACAGAAACCTCACCCACCCCCGAATGGATAATTTTAGCCCCCCTTATTCGGGGGAACACCGTACTGCACTTATGACCCGTTGACATACCTAGTCGTTTTTCACTTGAGATTCCGTGGTTTTAATGCATCTTTTGTTTATTATGGTTTCTAGTCGACCTGACTCGTTGGTCTCAAACCCGGTGGAACTGGTAGCGGACCTGCCGACCTTACAATGCTACTCATAAGCTTAGTAGTCTTATTTTCTTCCGTAGGCTTCTAGTCTGAAAAGGGCGCGTTTTATGGGGTGAGATGTATGTCTCTACAAGACATCTTAGGCCCCGGAATAGTCCTTGTTCGGTCTCATCGGCGAGAACAGGTTTTTCGCACTCATTAGTTTATCTTCGCTTAAAAATTTTCAAACAAATTTCAAATTTCCCAAAAAACGAGCATGGTTCGTATTTTGCAATGAGACACCAAAAATCTAGCGTTAGACCATTGAAACCTTGACGAATGCTAACTTGTCCTCTATCTTTTCCGTCATTCACACAATCATCTCCATTATTTTCCTCGCGATGCTCGTTTCGTGTCCTATCATCGCTTCGTACCGTTTTATCTGGGTCGCTGATGCGTGAAGCTATGAGGACGAACCTCCGCAACTTTCTCCTACTCGCATTTGCCTCTGTTGTGTAAACCTTACTCACTTTACCGAAACATAGAGCAGACAATCAGTTTATCAATCTGTTCTGTCCTTGTCAAAAGTCGGTAGTGTCAGTATTAGAATTCGAAGTCATTACCTTCAACACGCAGTTCACATGTGAGCTGTGTGCACATATTGATCGGTTTGGTGCCAGCAGCTGGCATGGGAGTTTGATTACTTGGGCTATGTTTCTCCGCCATCTTTTCCGCTTCGGGTTTACACGTCTTCAAAGTTGCACTGATGCGCTTCCTCTCTATCCACTCCATCCCCAACACAGTTCGTGATGCCTTCTGTTCTCACTATACCATGGAACTCGCAACTCGACACATGACAAAGCAACTATCCCTAGTGAAGGTACGTTTCACCACATTATTCGCGACCGTGAATCTGTTCCCGCCTGTGCGAAGTTTTTGCTCAGAATCGCAAGGACTTTGATGTCGCTTTACTGTGTTTTCTCTTTCTCCCTCATGGCTACACATCAGCTATCCGTGCATTTATCAGCCTTCGGTTTACCCAGTCGTTACCGCAGTATTAAAATTGCCCTTCATTTAGAAGGCCAGACATAGAACACAATGGAGGTGTGTATGAAGACTTACGTCAACTTTCTTGAATGCGTCTTGCGTTCGGAAAAACAGTTTGGCCATTTTCGTGGCACGTCACTTTTACCCGTCGTATTCCCTTCCCCGCATTGCGTTCATACTAGGAACTTTCTTGATTAACTTATGATTGATAACTTCTGTGCTCCGGAACTGTGGTCTTCCCGCTTCCATCCGGTAGCCCTTTAGCGGTACACCGCAAGTTCGCTCCAGGTGAACGTTTTTTCTGCAGAATCTTCTTTTGTGGTATTCGGAACGTACCGATATGAATTGTCTTTCGCACTTCTGGTTACCCAGAGCCCAATGGTTCGCGATTTTTCTCAAGAGCTTTCAGTAGAATATGATGGACGCCACAGGTGTTTTAACCATTGAGCTA